GGCAGTCTCTTGCGGACTTTTCTTTATATACGTCACGACAAAGGCACCCTCCACAGCTTCATATATGCTCCTTTCCTGAGAGAAAACCTGACCAAAGTAGCAATAGCAATTCAGTTGAGGTACTACTACAAGTAAGCTTCTTACCAGAGGCAGCATCTTCCGCATACATTCTTCCGCTCCATCAATGCTGAACTTATGGCACTTTGTAAGAAACTGAATACTTTGCTGAACGTCAAAAATCGCGGAAGACGAGAAGAGTTGAGATATAACTGGTATAGTTGACGCCATCGTTCTAGAAAAATGCAACGCAGACTCCAGCGAGGCCACGAGAGCTCTGGTTTGCTCAAGACTTCCAATATCGCAGCGCTTTTGCGTCTCAGGGGGACCTTGAGACTCAAATGTAGCGGTGTCTTGCGTCTCGTTATCGTTGGCAGCCTCCTCTTGTGGCTTAAACCTTGCAGTTTCCGTTTCCGTTTCCCCGGAAGTTCCACTTCCTTGAGTCATTTTCTCCAACTGTAGCTTGTAGATCTCGAGAGTCGCTTCAAAACGGCCAGTCTTGAGCATAGGTCCAAACGGATTGTACTCCAGTAAAGTTGTGAGGAGTTGAAGAGCGTTTTTCCTCACAAGAACTGCTTTATCATGTAGACGACCAGCGGCAATGTCCACAACCTGATTCCAGAGGCTGATTGACAGGGAATTCTGCTCGCACAGGTAACCCCATGTCTGCAGCACACAAGCCCGCGTAAAAGCATTCGTGTCACGGGTTCGTTCTATTAGAACGTCGAGCATGGCCTGTTTGTTCCGGAGCCTGATATCTTCGCTTAAGTTGCTGTCATTGTCTCCGAAAGCCTTCACCACAAGCCTTCCCAGCACCGTAACAAGAGCGTTCCTTATTTTGTACGACTCCCCTCCAAAGTGCGGCATAAGAACGCTGAGGTTGGCGGCCAACACTTTGGGTAACCTGTCCGCCAGCTCCACGAGGAAAAGCTTCACATTGTCTGCTACTGTAGGTAACCGGTTATACTCTGCTTGGCCTGTCATGCCGATTTCCCTCAGAATCCCCACTGCCAGAGTGTTGTCGCCATATGATTTATCCGAGACAGTCACCAGATCTGCTAACGGGATCGGGACATGTTCGCATTTGTGTAGCAAGTCGATCAAGGAAGGCAAGAGTTGCTCGTGGTAATCATACTTGACAGCACACGTTGCTAGAAACTTGCAAACTTCGTCTTTTGCTTCTTTGTCCTTCATGACGGTTGGATTTTCGAGTAGCTTCAGCCCGAACCTGAGAAGCAAACATCAACCAAGTGCGTAGAAAGCTGTAGAAATAAGGCTTACTTTGCAAGGAAGTTAAGAAGCCCATTCTCAGGCCGTGCCATGCCATAGAGAAGTTGTAAGTCCGCCTCCAAAACACGCGTGACTGATGATACTATCCGAGCTCGAAAGTCTTCCCACTTCCAAGACAAAGTTGGATTTTTCTTACGAGGCTGCTTGCTCTAGAACACATAAAAGGCAAAAAGGATAGAACCAGGGATAAAAGAAAGAAATGTTCTACCTTAGTCGATGCTTTAGTCTTCTGCGAGTCTGAGCAAGGCGCCTCCTCGAGAGTATAGATTTGTTGAAGAAAAAACGAGTATAATTTGAGAGCGTTTTGCTGGGAGTGGATTTGCTGACACAAAAGTGCTGGATCACTCTCCGCATCTTCACGCTTCAACGACGCGATGCTTGCGATAAGGAGTGTAAAATTCGAGCAAAGGCTTTCGATAATCAGTCTCTTTGTTGAGGGCTGCAAAGAGGGGAAATTCCTGCAAATCGAGCCCGGATCAAGGCGCATTCTTTCCGGAAAGATCTTACTTGACAATGGCAAACAGCTGATCGAAAATCGCTTGCTCCTCAATGCAGGTGACCTCATTGTCACCGAGCTGGAACGCGACCTCTACGAGACAACCGTGATCAAGATACCCTAGCGATGGACACACCAAAATCTCACCTTTGGCGAGCTCCTCGCCATCGGCCGTCGAGAAATCGCGCTGGACGACGAGAAAATCTTCCTCACCGCAATCTTTCTCGAGCTCCTCAAGGCCGCCGCTCTGTGGGATCACGAAACATGGCGCCATAGCTTCCCCAAGGCGGGAAATATGAAAAAACCTGATAAAAATCCAACCTTTACGTTGAAAATACTGGAACGAAAGCTCTCACTCGCCAAACATGGTGGCCTATTAGCTCAGTTGGTTAGAGCGTCGTGCTAATAACGCGAAGGTCGCAGGTTCGAGACCTGCATAGGCCAGAGTTTTTCTTTTGCTCACTTGACTTTGTCTTCTAGCGTTCCAATTTATAGGGTTCTTCATTCTTACTCTGATTTCCAGCAAGAAATCACGAGCGCTTTCTTTTATCGCAGCTGCGCATCGCAAAATTTCTATACTTGCCTCTGATCTATTGGCGTGCATTTCCAGCGATTTCCTAGCATATTTCATCGATTTCATCGGCGTCCCGAGCGCTTCCCCTTCTCACAGGCGCTGCGCAAGAAATGCCGGAAGGTAAGCACTGCCAAATCTCTCTCGAACGCGTTCTTGAATCGGATCTTGCAGGCTTCCATGCCGCCGTTGTCGATCAGCTGGCAGATTTGCAGATTCTCCTCGGATATTTTGATGCCGGCCCTCGGGGAGATGAATGCGATCTTGATCTCCATCCTTTTCAAGTAGTAGCGCTTCCACTCCACCATGCAATGCGGCCTTCTAATCACCAGGTAGCTCTTCTTGCTCCCTTCTTCTTCCCTTAGCTGCAAAACCTTGAATTTGGCCTCGCCAGCTCCCCATATTATCTTTAGCGCCCGCTTCATAGTGTCACTATAGGAAACCCATCGACTGTTCGTGGTTTCTCTGCCGGAAACTTCGATCTTTTCGTTCATATCCACGCAAGTGAGTGAGATTGCCTTGTTGAAGTCGTCGGCTGTTAGATCATACTCCAGTGTCCCAGAGTTCAACTCCGTCACAAGAAATGGCCGCAACCGCTCTATAGTTCCATCTTTGTGCTGACGGATCCACTGGTAGAGCCTGTTACCCACATTGTCTACGTTTCCAACAGCAATAAGCTTGCCACCAATTACTGCGTCTCCCGTTATGTCGAGCTTGAGTCCAATTTGAGCCCTGGAGTTCAGAAGCATCCGTCGGTAGTCTATGTCGCTTGTAGGTGGAAACTCCATTCTAAGTTGAGCTGATTGCAGGAGTTCCACGATTTGATGGAAGGCAGGAGGCTGCGAACTCAGGCATTTCTCTATTACAGCCTTGATTCCCGTGCAATCGTGAGAGAGTTGCGGTAGTTTTCCAGAGAGCAGTATTTCTTCCCCGATGGTTTGCCCGGTGATCATTCCTACGCAGGCTATACCAAAGTTGTACGCATCGGTCTTCCTGAAGTCCGCCGCTGGTGCATGGGGGAAGTGAAACGGATACTTCAACCTTCCAGCCAGAGTACTCAAGCTATTTTGTCCATCTCGTTTTCTGAAGTTGGACCGAGCTGAAACTTTGACAGTGATGCCACCGGTGAATTCGTCGAAGTGGCCTTTCTCAAATTCCACCAGCAGCGTATTCAAGTCCGAGAGCTCGCAGTTATGTTCATGCAAGTAGGCCACGCCTTGAGCAACTTGAAGCAGGATCTCGATGGTCAATACAAGAGGGAACTTTGTCACTCGGAAGTGGCCTCCAGAGACCCGCTCGGTCACCACGAACAGGTTTTCCCCGTGCCTTGTGTAGCCGAAAACTTGCGTTACATTTGGATGGGGCCTGTTTCTAAGTTCTGCGTGCCCTTTGTCAAGCTCCTTCAGGAGCTTTTCAGCTTCATTTCCTGTTCCAAGGGCTTTTACCATCACAGGTACGTCTAGCCATCTTCCTCTAAACATCGTCCCATGGTTTGACATTCCTACAAAATCGAGCAGTACGATTTCCTCTGGACTGATGCACGGAAAAACTGAATCAGCAGCTGACTTTTGAACTAAATATTTTGCCAACTTAACTGTCGCCTCGTCCGATGCATCAAGTAAGCCTTTAATGCTTTCTGCCAGTCTCTTTTTATCATCTTCCACATATTGCTCAGGAACAGCAGGGAACGTCATTATGTTATCGCTGTGGTTACCAGGGTTTATGGCTCTCAGTGTGGTTTCACATCTGTTGATATCGTCAAGAGCTTTTCTGAATGCCCACGGGTTATGCTCGTTCAGCACTGCCATATGCAACCACCTATCTTCACTGTAAGACTCTATCAGCGACAACGCAGTTCTCAAGGTAGTCACCAGTTTTATCTGAACGGCAAACCATGTGCGAAGTCCCAGCTTAGTTGGAAATTCCCGGTAGCTGAAAATCTGCTTGCACCTCGACTGCAAGAAGTGGCACTGGTGAAAATTTCTGAACGGAGCAGCAACAGAAATCTGGCAGATCATATCTCCTGCAGCGAGTGTCAGCTCTTCGGCAGCTTTGCAACTGGACATATCACTGCCTGTGAAGCTGGATTGGAGGTTGTACCCACCAAGCAACCTTTCCTTTAGCGACCACAGCATCCTGGATATCTGTTCGAAGGTTGGTCTATCTTTCGGATTCCTGTTCCAGCACCTGTTGAGGAGAACAACCAGCTCCAGTGGACAGCCTGTTGGAAGGTCAGGCCTATTTCCATCTTCGATCGCCTCGACCAGTTTATCTGCCACCAGCTGCTTGCCATCGTCCTGAAATGGCAGCGTTCCAGTCAGGATCTGGAAGCAAGTAATTCCGAAGCTGTATACGTCGACTTCTCTGGAGTACTTCTGGCCCCTCAGCATCTCTGGAGCCATGTATTGGATCGTCCCCCTTTGGTAAGACAAGTCCGGTGCAAAGCTTATAAAGTTCGACTTTGAGACTCCGAAGTCTGTTAACCTCGCGTCGAAACAAGTGTTGCAGGCATGGTTCTTTAATGTCTTAACGAGGACATTCGAAGGCTTGAGGTCTCGGTGAACCACATTCCTTTGATGGAGGTAGCTCATGCCGCTTGCGATCTGGAGCATAATGTCTACAGAAGTTAAAAGTTGCAGCGAGCCTTCAGCCTTCCTTATAACACTGGTCAGGTCCCTTTCCATCAGCTCCATGACAAGGTAAGCCTTCTCATCCTTCTGATAGTATCCTATCATCTGGAGCACGCTCGGGTGCGGTTCTAAAATAAGTTCTTTCAGGATGTTCACCTCCTTGTCGAATGAAGCATCACCGCTTCTAAACTCTTTCACAGCAACTGGTGCCCCCAGCCATTCAGCCTTGTACACAGAACCAAATGCACCCGAACCTATCAAAGTTTTCAGTTCGAGGGCCTGAATGGTGGCAACGGCTCCTCCTCTGCTTGACATCAGCTTGTTAACAAGGTACTGTGCCAGAACATACCTGTTGTCAGTTTCTGTGATGGAATTTGCTCTCATGAAGAGCTCCTTTCTATCTCTTGATGTGCAGGGACTCAGGTCCTCCATCGCTGAACGCAGGTTCTCTATGTGCTTGCGCTTGGAAGGCATGGCCATGAGGTACTGCACACCCGGGCTCCTAATATCCGTGGCACAATGAATCATGTGAGCATTGACCAAGGCCGTCAATCTACCCAGACACAAGCAGATCTCCGCAAAGGCTCTGGAATCAGTGAGCCGGACTGCAGCATGGTATAGCCATGTCTCGTCTTGGCACTGCTTGAGAAGCTGCAAGGCTCTGTTCAGCATACAACCGAGCTCCTGTATGGCCAGGGGAAGTGGCTTAAGTTCGGAGCAGCTCTGCCAAAGCCGCACGTATTCTTCGACTACCGAGCATTGGCTTTGCAGGTACTTGCACTGATGGCTGTTGAAGTGGAAATTATACTTACTGGTTTTGTTGATTTCGTGCAGCGGTCCGTCCAGCAGTTCCTGCGCCATTTCCATCTCCACCGAGTCAATTAACCTTGTCAAGAAGAAGTCACAGAGATTTCTGTGTCAGTGTGGGATACGGCTCGGCTCGCTGACGTGAGTGCCATCGGTCGTTTATTATTTTTTTGGAGTTCATACTCCTGACCCTGAGGCTTTTTCTCCCCTAACGAGTGTTTTACGTTTCTTATCCAGGCTCTCAAATGTGTTTTCATGTGTTATGGTATTGGTGGTGTCATGAACTTACAAGTGAAAAAATATCGGAACTTCTCATCATGTTTTTTGGTACAAAATGCGCTTTGATCGTTTCCTCTCTTTGATATATCCAGAGACGACGGACTGGGAGGAGTATCCTCGTTACGTTGGTCTTAATGGGCTAGATCCGGTAAGTTTGTCAGGAAATCTACTTTGTTTTTCCTTGGGCAATTGTGTGTGCTTTTGCTTGCAGGCCACGAAATCAACAAACCCGAGAGCCTTGTTCGAAGTAATGGCTATGCTTCGCAGCCATACAGCCAGTACTCCCCCCAGCTCCGTTTTACGCCGATGGTCAGCTCTATGGACAGTTCGCTTTTCGTTTTCCTGCTCCGGTGTACCACGGTCAGTATCACTTCGTAGAGCCACCTGGATCCCTTGAAGAATGATGGATCAACAGGTGCTATTGTGACAAAGAATGTGCAACGACCGGTTGCAGTGACGGGGCCTTACATTGTTTACCAGTCAAGATGACATTCCAAGCTGAAGAAATCCCGGCCGAGGGGGCGCTTCCTCGCTCAACAAGGTGCTGGCAGCCATAGCAGCACTCCTGGTGGTATCGCCTCGGCCTTACAGTCTGGCGCTGGAATCTCTAAGGCAGTCTATCGCCAGACCTCGGGGTGGACAAGATGGCCTCCACTCATGAACCATTTCCAGGTGAGTGAGCTCTCTCACAGCTCTTCTTAAGCTCTGGAAAAGTGATCACAAAGTTTCTAGTGATGGTTTTCCAGGAGGTTGCGTTAAACCACGTCTGGATGTCCAGGCTTGCTGGAGATGGATTTGGAGCAACGCATGCAATGATCCGGCACCATGGGTGGTGTCGGGAGTGCATGTCCAATGCTTCATGGTATGCTCACTTTCTTCTTTTGAATTTCTTTTTCTGTCCCAAACTTTGTGACGATCTTTGTGGATCTTTGTAGGGGCGATGCGCTGAGATAGATACTTGGGTGGCGGGTAAAAATGGCATGCGCCTCATGCGAGACTACAAGTCGGGCCAGATTTTGGCCAGAGCAACAAGGTGTGCTGTGAGATTTGATTGTGATGAAAGCATTCATCTTGCAGCACCCGGGTGGTGATGAATCAGACGACGAGGAGGCTTTCTAAGATGCCCAACGACGTCCGGGAGGAAATAACTCCATTCTATCTCCCAAGGTCGATGGCACTACACAGTTTGCCCGCTCGGGTTTGACAATGAGTAGCTCACTTTCCTTTTTCTTTCCTGCGCTTTTCTAAAGTATCATCTTTGCATTTGCAGCCCAAGGCATGGAGATTTGGACATGAACCATGAACAACGTAAAATACATCGGATGGATGCTGGAGGTGATCTGAGTTTCTTAAGTAAAGCAGGAGTCTCTCTAACTTGCTCCGGTTGTGTAGAGCGTGCCTCTCTCTATTGTTCAAGACCATGACATATCGAGCTTAACTATGGAGTACCGGCGAGAATGCGGCCAGAATGACGTTGTAGAGTCGATGACCTGGGTACAACACGCAGATTGCTTGATCGCGGACGACGATTTGGAAACGAAGAGAGTGAACTTTGGCGGAAGTGACGAGGAAACTCTCCCTTCTTTCGAGTTCTGACCCGTCACTCTGCAATCGCAAGAGGTGAAGCAGGCACGGTGGCTGCTCCACACCGTTGGGCGGAGGAAGAAAAATCGAGAAGCCTGATGCATTTGTTCTCCTTTCACGTAGCCAAATAAGAAACAAAGTTGTTGAGAAATTTTTGGTTCTATCTCCGACTCTCCTCTCCTTTGGAGATCTAGGAAGATGTCCTCCATATGTTCGGTGACGTGTCCAGTGCTAATAAGCAACTCAAATGTCTGGTTTACTGTATTATAGTTACAATTAATAATGTCCCAGAGCATGAGAAATTCTCATAAAAAAAACTTTAGCATTGCAAGTACCTAAATCTGGCAATTGCATCAATGATTATAATTCATTGATTTTATGTTGAACCAACATTAGCTGTGGCAATAAATATGTAATTGCATGTGGGAACATTATATATTTACACTGGATTTTTATTTTTTGAGTTTGCACATAAAAATATTATACACCCAATCACCCAGTCACTTTAGATTGCTATATAAGCAATCTAAACATACATTATAATATTACATGGAACATGTCAAGTGCATAGACACTTCATGCCATTTGTGCAACATATCATCTCCTTTTTTTTCTTTTTTGAGTAATTTGATTAAATCCACAATCATGGAGCTTTGTATATACAAGAAAGTGCAAGATATTGTGATAACCAATCAATGGATGATTTTTGTTTTTCTTGGCTCGTCAAGATTTTGGGTCAATGGAGACATAAACTGATTGCATCATATGTCATGCAACAGCTTGTCAAGATGAATGGTGATGTCTAGGATCACAAAGTTGGGGAGATTTGCAAGCTAGCTTGGGATTTCACTTGTGAGCTTGAGTTATGATGGAGGGGGAGGGCATCATCATCAGCCTTGCCATAATAAACTGCACTATAGGAATTATGCTCCTCCTCCACCACTATCATCCTTTTTTATTTGGCTCAAGCTTCAAGAGGAATCCCAGTTCTAATTCTTTGAGTAATCCAAATTCCACCAACAACACCAATCTCACCCTATCAAGAGAGAGAGACCAAGGAAAAGAGATGAAAAAAGGAAGGAGTATGAAATAAGGAAGCAAGGGATGCTAAAGCTTTAGCTTTCCACTCTTAGCATAAGTAGTAGACAAAGAAGAAGCCATGCATTGTGCCCAACAAAGTTGAGAATTGGTTGAAGAGACCATTCACATTTCTTTGAAAGATCAAGTAAGTTTGTAGGTGTATGTTGCTGAACTTTCTTACATATTGAGTTTTTTCTTTCTCTAGATTTAGGAATGATCTGCCTATTTTAGGAGTTTTGGTCCTCACCAATTTTAAGGAATAACACTTGTTCTCTTTCAAGGAGAATTTGATAGAATTTTGCTTACCAGCTTTCAAGAACATATCTTCATGGACTCAGATGGCTCCTAATGTAGTGTAACCTAGTTTGATTCCATAATAAGATCTAAATTTAATACATAGTAAGATCTACTGTTATTATGGGATTTATACTCCATAACATATGGGCTCACAAGCTCATGGGCATATGCAAATATTACTTTGTGAGTCACACATGTGTATTACAACAATTTAAATACACATGTTTTAGTTTTTTCATATATTTTAAAAGCTTGCATAATTTTGTTAGGCTACCCACCTTAGATTCACCTCCAAGTATACCTCCCCTCCAAAACTATCATTACAAATTGTTTGCCATACATTAACTTCACTCCTAATAGCAATAATAACTTTAATATTTGCATCAATTACAAGGATATTCTTATAAGTTCCACCACTTGCCTTCTTTAGCTCTAATAACTTCAATGGCATATGTCCAAAATAAAATTTTCTTTTTTTTGCTTCCTCTAGAAGATTTATTTACACCACCCCACATTACTAGAGTTGTATGGATGTAAGGAATAAACTCTCTAAGTGTCATAATCTAAAGGATCCTTTGAAATCACAATTAAAATAGTAAAGAGTTTGTTGAATAAAATTGAGTGCAAGATCAAGTTCAAGACCAAATCCAAATACTAATATATGTCATGGGGTGAAAGCTTAAAGTGATCATCTCTCAAGGGGGGGAGGGGTGGTGGGGTTCCAAAAGTATAATAAGAAGAGTGAGGTTAAGGATTTAAGTTAAAGGAAAACTTTAGTGGTGTTTTTGAATTGTACTAAGGTTGGGAGTAACTTTGGGTGGGAGTGAGCATGGATTTAAGAAGTGTTAATGAGGCCCCTTAGAGTAATACTTAAAAACAACTCCCAACCAATAGACTGTTTACAACTTCCAAGGGTGGGTGACACCTTATTATATGCTAAATATGGTTTGCACATCAGACTTTTTTTTAGTTTGGTAACTATAACAATGAAAGTAATCCTCCATATCATAAAATTAATCCTCCAAATTTTTAGTTATTCACTCTCTTGAAGATAGGTGAATGCTTTGGTTTGTACTTGAGAATTGTTTATAGGACCAACTCCACCTTGATTTACTCAACTTTTTTGGTTCAACCTTAGTACCCACTAAGGGGTTTATGCCTTTTGCATGAGGAAGGTTCTAGTGAGGAGATTTTTAAATATGAATTTAGTGATAAAGTTTAGTTGTCTAAGGCTTAATTGGACACTTTAAAATGACAAATGGTTTATACCAATGCTTTGCTAAAGACACTCATCAAAGCATGATGAGAAGTAAAAGATTGTAGATACAAACAATGCAGAATGAATAAACCCCTTAGTGGGTACTAAGGTTGAACCAAAAAAGTTGAGTAAATCAAGATGGAATTGGTCCTATAAACAATTCCCAAGTACAAACCAAAGCATTCACCAATCTTCAAGAGAGTGAATAACTAAAAATGTGGAGGACTAATTCTATGATATGGAGGATTATTTTCATTGTTATAGTTACCACTAAACAGTCTTAAATATCCTAAATATATAAAGTTACCTTTAACCAATTTGAAAAAAAATGCATTATTGTTCATGGGCCCTTTCCCTTTATATTTGAACATTTATGAACCATCTCTTGAGTTATTATCTTTGATTGGTTACAATAGATTGCCAATTCTCTTCAAATCCCCCTCTCTATGTTAATTGAACCACACTCCCCGCTAGTACAAATAACCAAACACATATGGCCTAAAATATTTTTAATATTCCTTGATACAACAAAACTTATTTATGAGACTCTCTAAATCAATTTGGGACCAACCCCAAGTATAGATATTTTAACTCCACAACTCCATCATAAAAAAAAGGCTTAAACTCCTAAGAAAAGGCAAGGACTAATGAGCATTATGATACTCAAGTTAAGCACCATTCCACATAAGTTGAGAGCACTACAATCAAGATTGTAGTGCTCTAAATCATAACAAATTTATACCAATGCTTTGTTAAAGGCACTCATCAAAGCATGATGAGAGGTAAAAGATTGTAGATACAGACAATGCAAAAGGTATAAACCCCTTAGTGGGTACTAAGGTTGAACCAAAAAAGTTAAGTAAATCAAGATGGAGTTGGTCCTATAAACAATTCCCAAGTACAAACCAAAGCATTCACCAATCTTCAAGAGAGTGAATAACTAAAAATTTGGAGGATTGGTTCTATGATATGGAGGATTACTTTCATTGTTATAGTTACCAAACTCAAAAAAAGTCCTATGTGCAAACCATATTTAGCATATAATGTTAAATCTTAGTGTGAGGATGTAGCATATGTGGTTTTTACCCTATATCCTATGGTGATTTACCATAAGATAACACTATGAAGTGGAACCTAAACCCTCTTTATGCCACATGACACATGCCACATGTCATATGCCACATGTCCAAAGGACAGTGGTGTGAAACCTAAGGTTCAAGGCCTTGGGCCACTAAACGAAGGAACAGTGATAAACTCCCAAGCATGGAGCCAAGGAGTGATGGAACTAGTCTGGGGAGCAACTCCTGAGCATACAGCCCAAGGAGTGAAGGGACATGAGCTTGGAGTGACTTGGAACAATCCTAGAGTATCCAGCATCCCAATGCCAGGACCAACATGCAAAATAGAGCCAAATGGAATTTGGCGCTATTTTGGCATATCGGTGGCCTAACGCAAGGACATGGGTACTCCACCAGTTAGCATGGAATGAAACTTGGGCTTAGACCTCAGCTGGATGTAGAACAAAGACAGGCACGCAAGTGTAAGGAACCGACTCCCCGAGATGTCGTAGGCTAAAGGATCCCCAAAAGCTTGACCGAAATGACAAAGAGTTCATCGGATGGGACCAAGTCGAGGATCGAGTCCAAGACCGACTCTAGGACCGAGTTCGAGATAGAGTCCGGAATCGAGTCCAAGACCGACTCGGGGACCGAGTTCGAGTCCGAGTTCGAGACCGAGTTCGAGACGGAGTCTGAGATCCGAAATCGGTCCGAGACCGAGTCTGAAGTCGAGTCCGAGGTTGCGTCTGAGATCGGGTCCGAGATCGAGTCCGAGATCGAGTCCGAGACCGAATCTGAAGTCGGATCTGAAATCGGGTCCGAGATTGAGCCAGAGACTAAGTCCAAATAGTAATATGGGTCAAGGGGTGAAAGCCCAAAGCGTGCGTCTCCCAGGACGGGGGGGGGGGGGGGGGGGGGGTGGGCTGCAGGGGGTTCCAAAAGTATAGTAGGGATAGTGAGGTCCAGGAACCAGTCTTGAAGGAACTCTCCAGTAGTGCTTCCAAACTGACTTGAGGTTGAGACTGGGGCCGAGGGGCCTTGGGTGGGAGTGAGCATGGGCCTGAGTGGTGCCGAAGGGGCCACCCAGGGAAGTGCTCAAGAGCAGCTCCCACTCCCGAAAGGGAAACCGATTGCGGTGCTCCCGGCTCAGGTGGGGTGGTGCCCCACTTGAGTACCTTGTGGCTCATTGGTCCTCGCCCTTCCTAGGGGCTTGGGCCTTCCCTTCGGGATGGAAGTGGGGGGGTAGAGGTACCCATACCGGGCCGTTAGGCCACGGTGTTTCGCCCTGACGTCCCGAAGCAAGTGCTGCACCCAAGACTTGGGATTTAGAGGGTCCCATGATCAAGTCTTGTGGTACCAAGGGGTGTTAGGAATCTGGAGGCTTGGTGTGCTTGGCTATTTGTGCCTGCGGGGAGTGTAGCCGAACCTTAAGTCCAGTCTAACCCGGGGAGGGGGATTGGGAGAGATTTG